GGAATGCCACCAAAAAAAATAAAAAGTGAAGCTGACAGTACCATGGGAGGTTGATAAAACAATAGTGCATGTTCTTGTGGTTGGCTCAGAGCAGCAATAGTTAAAATTTAACACTGTACAACATCACTCTGAGTGTCTAGGATGGGAAGTTACAAAAATGGAGTGCAACTAACCTGGAATTCAAGGAGGTGGAACGCTAGGCTTGGCTAGAATAATTGGAATAAAAAATTACTCTGGGCCATGTTCTTCTAGTCTCACTACCAATGCCAAAAAAACCCCAAAGATCACATAATTGATCTAGAACGTGAATAAAAACCATAACCACCAGTCATAAAATTCATCACTGAGCTCTGATGTTTATGAACCCTAAAAAAAAGTCAACTACTGAATAATTTGGAGAAGGGCAGGAAAGGGCCAATGGCATGAGGCTTTTGAAGCAAGTTTCACTTCCCTAAGGTAACCAAGTCCTTAGCTGAGCAACAGGACCTGAGTGGGACAGATTTTGACTACTTTTTTGGGTTTACCTCTTGAAACCAGGAATACCTGTTGGGATATAATACTTGGCAGGACTAGGCCCTAGTCTCACAAGTCAGTCAGATCCCAAACTGTCTCTGGTCCATCTGCAGAACTTAGCAATCACTCACATCACCAGAGAATTCTCCTCAGAAATGCAGGTCTTGATAGGACCTTTAGCCTCCACTAATGATTCCATAAACCCAAAGTTCCACAATTTGGGCCACAGGGTACCAAACAGTTGTGTTCAGATTGCTGAAAAAGTAACCTGCTCTATAGTGGGGTTAAAAAAAAATTTATACAAGAGCCCAACTGGTAAATGAAGTGGGAGGGTTAAACCTCTCGTTCCCAGAGCACAGGGCTGAGGTGCAGAACCAGGCAGAGCTGCACAAGAACTGGCCTAACAGCAAATTTTTTGAAAACTTTTATATAATCAAACTAGTTTAATTGCTGAGACAGGAAAATAAAAATGCCTTTCATTTCCAGCCCTGGGACTCCAGGCCAAAGCAGGGCACAATGCAGCACTTCTGAGCATTTTGCTTTTACCTCCAAGTGAGAGCAAACCCAGAGCACAAACCTTTGGGTGAAGTGGCTCTGCAGGCTGCCACAGAGCTCTGAGCAGCCACACTTGGGCTCTTCAGCAAAAAACTAACACACACAGAGCAGAATTCCAGCTCCAGCCCTTTGTGAAGCCATTTTACAATGCAAACTGAGCAAAGATCAGAGGCTGCCTTGCCTCTTCCAGCAGGATTTGCTCTGGTACCAAAGCCAGGCCAGTGCTCAGGAGGGAGGAGCTGCCTGGAAAACTAAAGAAGCCAATGCTGCTCTCCAAGGACGTGGCCAACAGAGTCACTCCTTGCAAACAACCCACTTAATAAGCACATCTAATCCTCAAAATCAACCTCTTAGAGCTGCATAGAAACATGCAGGGTTTGTTTTTAGTAGCAAAACTAAAACTAATCCTCCACCATGAATGAAGAGCAAAATAAAAGGCAGTAAGAGCCCAGGACACTTTCTTCTTCAGAAGAATGGTGATAAACTTAGGTGGGCAAAGAATCAGCAAGTGGAAAATGCTCAGTGGGCACGAGTGGAAAAACAGACTGAAATCCCAACTGAAGTCATGGGCCTGAGTTTTCAGGCAAGATGTACAATAGTCTCTTTGTAAAGGCCTCACAGATTCAATGTGCTTTACAACAGGTTGCACAGATGTTTTGTCCAGGGACTTCCACCCACCATTGTGCACAGTATGAAAAATTCAATTAGTTGTGATATTACTAACTGATCCAAGACTTTATCAACCAACAATACATGATAATGCCCTGAGGCACTTTCAGTCTGGCTTTACAACTCAGCTATGAGCTCAGAGTTGATTCTGAGGTTGGGAGTGCCAAGTTAAAAGCTGCACCAGAGCAGAGGAGACTCAGCCAACTCATCCCTGAGCAGATCTGTACAGCGTTGGGCTGTTGGTGTTTGGATGTAGCTGCAGGTTTTAGTCACTGTCAGTGTTTTAACTAACCTGGAATGTATTTGCTATTTTGCTTTAAAACTTGTGTTACAACAGCAAAAGAACTGCTGGTTACCATCTTCTGGTTATGTTATTAGGTCAACTAAAGTGGATGAAATAAGTTACC